AGTACACCACCTGGGTATAACTTCATCAGGAAACAGCTTTCAGGAGGCCTACTTCTCCCCAGTGCAGCTTTGTCTCCTCCCTCCTAAGCTCTTGGAAAAGTACTAACTCCACCTTGGCTCTCCTGTGGACCACCAGTGAAAGGGACCAAGGACAACTTGCACCTGCTGTATTCCTACAGAAACATTAAACCCAACTCTCATCCCGTGGAAGCAGCAGGTAAGAGAAATGCAGGGAGTCTATAAATTCAAACTGTCTGGGCCCTCCACAAGTGTCACCTCTCCAAAGACAGAGGAGTAACAGCCAAAGTGTACCTTGCCAATTCAATGCATGAGTCTACGCTGGGGCCTGGATCAGTGCCCGGCCCCCACCTGTCATTTTGGGATGGATGAGAAGTTTAAGTCTACAGTCCTAAGACAGCATGGGACACTATCCATTTGTTGATCATGACTGCTGCAGGTGGCTGGGAAGATTCTCTGGCTCTCAGGTAACACATGCTGCAGTATTAATAAGGGGTGGGTCTTAGGAGAGTCCCCATCCACACTGGCTTGTCCTTGTCAAGCAGGCTTGTCCTTGCTCAGGTCTGGTTAGGCGACCATATTGAGATCTCACAGGGCAGTTTCCCCGTCATAGAAGACACAATCTCCCAGCAAATGTCCTGTTCCTCTGGTTTGTACCCAGTCACCCAGTGACATTCCCTGACCATCTTATGGATGAATAACTATAACAATAACAATTAAAGCAAAAGAAAACATGAAATTGGATGAGTAGGGAGATGGGGAGGATATCGGGGGAGGGAAGAAATATGATCAAAACATTGCATGAAAGTCTCAAAGAATTAATAAACTTCTTTTTAATAGAATGAGCTAAGGGAATCATGGAGAAAACAACACATACACATTGAAAGTGCATATGACAAGACACTTATACTGAGTGTGCCAAGGTGGCATATTAACAAAGTGCTCTGTATGTTTCTTGAAAATTTTCAAAATGGAAAGTTGCCCAAATTTCCATGCTACAGAGCATACATGTTCCTAATGACAGTTGCCCACAGTGTGCATACATGTTCTAATGATAGCTGCCCGTAGTGTGCATACATGCTCTAATAACAGCTGCCCGCAGTGTGCATACATGTTCTGACAGCTGCCCTCAGTGTGCATACATGTTCTAATGACAGCTGCCCGCAGTGTGCATACATGCTCTAATGACAGCTGCCCTCAGTGTGCATACATGTTCTGATGACAGCTGCCCGCAGTGTGCATACATGTTCTAATGACAGCTGCCCGCAGTGTGCATACATGTTCTAATGACAGCTGCCCTCAGTGTGCATACATGTTCTAATGACAGCTGCCCTCAGTGTGCATACATGTTCTAATGACAGCTGCCCTCAGTGTGCATACATGTTCTAATGACATCTGCCCGCAGTGTGCATACATGTTCTAATGACAGCTGCTTGTAGTGTGCATACATGTTCTAATGACATCTGACCGCAGTGTGCATACATGTTCTAATGACATCTGCCCTCAGTGTGCATACATGTTCTAATGACAGCTGCCCGCAGTGTGCATACATGTTCTAATGATAGCTGCCCATAGTGTGCATACATGTTCTAATGACAGCTTCCCGCTGTGCACATACATGTTCTAATGACAGCTGCCCGCTGTGCACATAAACTAATGATAGGTGCCAGCAGTGCTGCCCTAGGAGCTCAGCAGTCTGGGGCATTCAGGACTGGGCATTCCCTTGTGACCCCCCTCTTCTCCGAGTTCAGTCTCCGCAGCTCCAGCTCATGCTGCCCCCCTGATCTTCAGTCTAGTGCTCTCCCAACTGAGCTATTTTGGCGCAGTTACTCCCCCCAACCCCCGTTCTTTAATGTACTCTACATACAACAACTACAAAATGGCATCTCTGTTCTCCTAACAGGCAACTTGGGAAGGTATCCCATCATGCTTTGTAAGGCTGATGGCAATAAAAGCTAACTAACACTTGAGAAGATAACTACCCCTGTACGAACACTAACTTTTAGAGGCTTTGGTGCATCCTCACAAGTAGGTGAGGGATGGACACCAGCTCAGCAACGGGTTATTTGAAGTCATTATCCTCTCACTTCCTGCCTGGCTTCCTGTCCCCAGTGTTCAACAATGGACCATTCGTGTGATGACAGACAGCGGGCTGCTCTTCTAACCAGCAAGACTGGTGGCTGTGGCTTTTGAGGTCACCGTGTCACTGTCCTGAGTCTGAGTTAGACATTTTGAACTGGCTGCTGACACCTACCATCATTTGGAGAATATCTGCCTTCATTTTTAGAGGAATAAGAGTCTAGGCTATCCCTTCCCCTACTCCCCTCCTCCCCAGCCAACTAAGAAAGCTGTAAAGTCCTTTACCCCTGACTACACTTCAGCATTGGGTTAAGATATGCTAAGGGTTGGCAAGATGGCTCAGCTGGTAAAAGCACTTCTCACAGAAGCTACATAGTCCAAGCTAGACCCCGGGAACCCACATAAAAAGCTGGAAGGGACTATATGTGCACCTGTAATCTCAGGACTGGGGAGGTGGGAGGCTAAGGAGGGAGAATTGCTCAGAGGCTGGCAGGACTGCCAGTTTGAAGCAGAGAACTACTCCCAAAAGTTGTTCTCTGTTCTCTGACCTCTACACATGCACAGTGGTCCACAAGGTGTACACACACACACACACACACACACACACACACACACGACAAAAGATAAGATAAAGTCTAAAATCTTGTAAAATAGTACAGTGATGTTTATTTACACTTATTGTATTAAAAAGACGGGAAATAACAATGTCACATTCTCATTAAAAAAAGACATAATCATCACAAAATATATACTTACACATGAAACTATACAATAACATTATCAGGAAAGTAGGAGGCAGTCTGCACACAGCCATGGTCTCATCCTCTACAACGCCAGCTGGGTGAAGGAAGAATCTGGGACGGTCCATATGCCATCAGCACAGGACTTGAACCATCACCAACCTGGATGCCTTCCCTGAGGGGCCAGCCATAGGACGCGACTGCACTCTCGCTAGCTGTCCCTCCCTTTAACCATCCTTAACCACTCACAGGCCCCGGGGCCTATCTCGGAGGGCCTCCTAGTCCTCTGTCCATACCTTATGGTGTAACATGAAAGTTGTACAAAGTAACCATCAAACGCCTGGCTCTGCAGACAAAGGCTTTGATACAACCGAGAGTGGGGTGTTGTGCCAGCTCATCTCGGTGTACAAGTCCCAGCAGTACACAGACCTGCCCACAAGCCGAGTCCCTCCTGAGGCATCCCCACCCACCAGATCCAGCCCTGAGGGCATCTACGGTGTTTGAAGATAGATGCAGCATCAGAGCCAGTTCCTACCCAGACTCAGATGTCTCTATGTTCATCAGATATGGCACGTGGGGTGTTTAGAAGAAAATGGAGTGGCCCGATTAGGAGGTGTGGCCTTGTTGGATGAAATGTGTCACAGTGAGAATGGGCTTTGAAGTCTCTTTTGCTCAAGCTTCCCTCAGCGTGACAGTTGACTTCCTGTTGCCCCTGAGTCAATATGTAGGACTCTCAGCTCCAGTACCACATCTGCCTACACATCGCCATGCTCCTGCCATGCTACTCACCACAATGGACTGAACCTCTGAAACTGTATGTGAGCCCCCCTCAATTAAATACTTTCACTTAAAAGAGTTGCCATGGTCATGGTGTCTCTTCATAATAATAAACCCGAAGACAGCATGCTCTCCTGGACCCTGGACCCTGGACCCAACTCCAGCCCAAGACTCAAATGCAGTCCCCCACTTTCTTGAGCAGCCCCATGTCCCTTATCCCTGCCTTCAACAAAAGGACCAGGCTCCTGAACACCATGGTCCCATGCAGTCAACAAGCTCTGTCACCACAGAAACACTGAAATCTCAATAAAGGATCTGAGGCAGGGGGATGAGTGGATATAACTTCAGTGGTAAATTATGAAATCAACCAATCTTCCCAAGAGATTGCCATTTTGGATCTAGGCTAAGGAATTTAAATTCTGTGAAGTGATCCATGCCAGGAGGCAGATGCTAGGCTTGTGCCAGCTAAACACAATATCACGAAAACCTCCTCAGTCCATTCATCAATGTGACAGTTCCCACTTAGTGACAGAAGCATGGCCGTGGCGCATACACATCCCCCAACACACCCTGCGGAAAAGCAGGAAGGGGAACTGAAATTATTCTCAAGGCCCAGGACTCCCTGACAGATTTGCCACTCAGAAGAAAGAAGACTCCTCAGTGGGGGTGGGAAGGGTTAGGGTAGTGGCGGTAGTGGTGTCTCTGTGTGTCTGAGGGAGACCTGGGCAGCCCTGCAGGCATAAAAAAGACCCCAAACAGCTCATGGCAAACGCTCACTGGACCAACTGGCTAAAACAGGAAATGTCTATGTAAAGATAGAATCACCTCAGGCTCCTATGCCTGGTATCTCTCCAGAGAGCAGAGAGCCAAAGTTACCTCAGGACACTTTGTTAAGTAACTGGTCATCCCACTCACAGTCGTCCTGAACCTCAGAATCAAAGCCTATACCCTCAAAAGTAGATTCCATGGGGAAGTGGGGCACCAAACAGACAAATGTCTTCATTCCGTCAGAAAAGCATCAAAACTGTTTTTAAACACACTGCTGCTAAAGAAGATGATGAACTAACCTGATTATTATTATTATCATATCAAGAACATACCTGAGAAACCTACGGAGCAGCCAGCTATCCTTATTGAACCTTCACTAGGTTCAGCACCTCTTTCTGGGAGTCCTGGCTGAATGACAGTGTAGAATTTAACAGCTTTACCTACATGGAGAAGCACCTTCCATGAATTGAAAACTATGTGCTCCATATTTACGTGGGACTGTTTCAAAATGCTAATGATAATGTTTTAAAAGAACTGATACTCTGAGGTCTCACACACAACATACCTCTGGCAGCTTCACCCTGTACCTTAATTAAAGGGGTGGGAAGGGGTCCTTACCCTCCTTCTGTAAGATTCGTTGAACTCGTCTCCAATCCGCCGAAGCTCCTGTGCAATCCATATCTCCGGGCGGATATCTGCAGGTTCCTCCTGAGACTGCCTTATGGAAGCTGTGTGGGGACAAAGAAACCAGAAATCACGCCGGGGTCCACAGCACTGACAACATCATACATGAGTTTCCAGGAACAAACCCATCTCACACACTCCCATCCTTCTGGAAGCTCCCTGGTTTCAGGGGCTCTCAATCTGGTGTTATAAAAGGTGAGAGAAGTATTTTAGTCAATATCCTAGTTAGGTTTTTGTTGCTGAGAAAAGGGTTTCTTTGGCTCACACAGTTGATCACGGTCCATCAACTGTGAGAAGTCAAGGCAGAAACTCAAGGAGCAGAGGCAAAAGCAGCAATACTACTTACCAGCTCGCTCGATGTGGCTGCGATTCTCTCCTCTCCGTCCCCCCCCCCATCTCCCTAGGTTTTTCAAGACAGGGGTTTCTCTATGTAACAGTCCTAGCTTTCCTGGCACTCATTCTGTAGACCATACTGGTCTTGAACTCACAGAGATCTGCCTGCCTCTGCCTCCCCAGTGCTGGGATTAAAGGTGTGTGCCCTAAGTCTGCTTTATTATACAACCAGGACCACCTGCTCAGGCTGTCCCTGCCTCTGAAGTCAGCTGAGCCTTCCCATACATCAAGAATGTACCGCGCAGATTTCCCTATAGGCAACCTGATGGAGGTAATTCCTCAGTTAAGATTTCCTATTCCCAGGAGACTCTAGCTTGTTGACCAACAGAACAAAACAGAACCAGCAATCAATGTCTAAGTGACACAGAATAACTTCACAGAACTGGATACTCAGACATACAAGAATTAAAAACATCCTGGCCTAGCCATACACACTCCTATTTCAAAAAGAATCCTAAACAGCACAATGAAGCTCTCCAAAGAAACATGACAGGGACTGGTGGCATGGCTTAGTCACGATGGCACTTGCTGCCAAGCCTGGCAACCTTGAGTTCAATCCCCAGAATCCACATGACAAAAGCAGGGAACTGACTCCCACAGATTGTCTCTTGCCTTACACATGCACACACGCCAAATATAATAATGACTGCCAGAGCTACACAGAGAAAAAGGAAAGAAAAAATAAAAAAAGAAATCAGTGACAGAGAATCTGCCTAGCATTCATGGGGTCCCAAGAACTACACTAGGAAAAAAAAAAACATAAAACACCAGAGAACATAAAATTTTAGTTTCTCAGTGAAGTACCTATCTTAGAACAAGGTACATATTCCTAGGAAAAATTCAAAGCTGACAAAAAGGGGAAACCTGAGCTGTCTCGAAGTGGGTTTCTACAGAAGCATGTTCAGCAACACCAATAGTTCATCCAAATGGGAGCGTAACTGCATGTTTTGATGGAATATTAACTCATCAACAAAGACAGACTCAAGCCTGCAAACACTACACGAAGGGAGGAAGTGTTTTGGATCTGGGAGTAAAGGCACTTTTGACAAGACACAAAAAGACTGGATCCTGGATGTGGGTGAATTCGAAGCCAGCCTGATCCTCACATACATATCTGTGAGGTCCAGGTCAGCCTGAGCTATATAGTAAGATCCTGTCTCAAGAAAACAAACAAACAAACAAAAAACCCAACAAACCACATTAGGAAGTTAATGCTGTAACAACACAAGAACACACATTGCTCAGAGTAGGTAACAATCCAGGAAGAGACAGGGCTCCTGGACTCCATTTACACCCTCGCATTTAAAAATAAGCACAAAGAACTCCCAACCAAATTTCCCACTCACTCAGTAAAGCAGTAAAAAACCTAAGATCCTTGTATTTCATAAAAACATTAAATCTTTTTTATGAATTTTGTAAGCAGTCCATGCACTGCATATTCATAACTCAAGTGAACACTTCAAGACTTGGATAATTTTTTCCAAAACCTAAGCATATCGACCCTAATCAAGGAGGGCAGTGGATCAGTGGAGTGAGGGATGGGCTCAGCATGCAATCCCAGTTAGAGAAACTGAGGCAGGACGACAGTGCTGGGCTACATGAGAAAAGAAAAAGAACACCAAGGGCTTGAAAGAGAAGCAGGCATTCTGTAAGACCTCAGAGGGGGCTCTGTGCACCACCAAGGCACTGACACTCTGAACATCAGAGGGCACGTCACTACAGGAAGTATTGGTACAGACAGGAAGTCTTATGGAGGAGTTAAAGTTTTAGGGTAGGTCACATCCAGTCACAAAAAATGACACTATCCATACATTTTTAGCATAAATATTTCTAATATTAATGTTACTATTAAGTCTACTAAAACCAAAGTTTAAATAATGGGCAAAAAAGAAACAAAAATCAAAAGAAGGCACCATGCTAGGTGATGACATCAGTTCCGTGTCTCTTCCTGGGTTCTTGGCTTTTTAAGGACTTGGTTATCATAGGAGACAAATCACTGTCTTTGTTTATTTGAGAGTCTCACTGTGTAGCCCAGGCGCCTCTCAGCCCTCCTGTGTCACCTTCCCAAGTGCTGGGATGACAAACATGCACCACCAACCAGGGTCATGACTAGACTTTTTTTACCATGTGCCATCAAGCACTCTCTCCGACTTAGGGGCCCCTTCTGATAAGTGTCCTCATGGGGAGGCACCTATTACCCATACAGCTGAGCAGGCCAGAGAGGTACCGTGCCACCCTGAAAGGTTCCATCACCCACCTCTCTGGACTTCACAGTTTCACTGTTTCCCCCAAACATACTGAAGAGATATCTAGCTTCAACTCTGGGGTTGGAAATAAAGAAAACCCAACTGCTGAAAGACAATGGGGGAAATCATATGCTTTATTTATAAAGTTGACAGGGTGATCAAACTTGTTGGACATCTTACCCAATGTTCAATATGGGGAAAGATTCACTGATTTACTCAAGGAATGACCACGAGCCATGCCATTCGAGGAGGCCAAGCTGAGGTCTCATGGACTTGAAGTTCTTGTGAACTAACACAACGGTGTTTCCTCTCTCTCTCCTCTCTCTCTCCTCTCTCTCTCTCTCTCTCTCTCTTTCTCTCTCTCTCTGCTCCCTCCCCTCCCCCTCCCTCCCTCTGTCCATCCCTGCCACAGACAAGGTCTCATGTAGTGCAGGCTGACACTGAACTCCTGATTTTTTGCTTTCACTTCCCAAGTACTGGGACTACAGGTGTGTGTCACCATTTGTCCGAACTCAAGATCCATACAACACGGTTCACACTTTTGTCTTGGACTATTCAAAACCTTCACAAAAAAAGTGCTTTAGCTCTCTGCAAGCCCTTCTGAACTCAAGGAAGCTTGCCTTCTTTGAGCCACCTAATGTCCCTTGCCAAGGGACGTTTGGGGATGGTTCGACTTCCTTTCTCTTGACCGGACCCTCTCATGAAGCAGCATGACCTTTCCTATGTGTCTCATGTCTGAAGCTATGTTGTTCTTTATGTACAGAGAGAACTATGCTTTAATAAGCAAAGCCATCTTCTTCCATTGTAACACAAAACAATGACAAACTCTGATTAATGCCTCCACATTGGAAAGGAAGCCTTCTGGCCTTCTAGCTACTTCTTCCCTCACATGTATGCTTGCTTCAGAAGGTGGTCTGTTTCATGCTTGCCTGGAACTTCAAAAACCACTGAAGGAGCTAGCCTGGGTCACAAGTTGACTTATCAAAACTTGCACTTAACAAGTACACTGATACTGCTAGCAGCTATGGATCTCTGGTGGCCAAACTCAACTTGTTGAGAGATAAATGCCCTGTTGTTTGAGGAGATAAGCAGACAGCCTGTTTCTCCCAGAAAGAGCAGCTCCACGGCTGTTAGAACAAGTAGGTGCATAGATACAAACAGGTCCCCAGAGCCCAGCAGGGAGGCTCAGGCTGGGAGGGAATGGAAGCCTGAAGGTCCACAGACCAGATTCTGAAAGAACACTGAACAAAGGACCAGAAGCAGTGGCTAAGTCTGTGGCCCTGATCTGTGATTTCTGAGAGCACTTAAGAGCCAAGAGGGTGTATTAACCCAAGATAATGGTTAGACTAAGCTTAGTCTACACTGTAATTGGCAGGCAATAGCTTGGGTTAGTAAGCAGGCTACCAGCTGTACTTAGGTGTAATTTTAAAAAGTTGTTACAAAACAGTATTGTACAGTATAAACAGCACTCACAGGAGGCTGGTGTGCTCCAACAGTCCACCCAGCTTTTTTGTTTTTTTGTCTCACTATGTAGTCCTGGCTGAGCTGGGACTGCCTATACAAAGCAGGCTGGCCTCAAACTCAGGGCCATTTGTCCCTGCTTCCTCCTGAGTACTCAGATTAAGGACATGTACCCCTGGCTGGTATTGTTTGTTTGTTTGTTTTGTTTTTTTAAAGACTGTTTATTTCCTTTTGTCTGTGATATTCAAGATCCCAAGGTGTCCAATGTGATGGACAAGTGTTCTACTACTGAGCCACAGCCTCCAAGATAGTTGTGTTTTTCTTTTTTGTGTATTTTTATTTTATGTGAATAGCTGTTTTTGCCTGCGTGAATTTATGTGTACTGTGGGCATGACTAGTGTCTGCAGAGGCCAGATGAGAGTGTTAGTCCCCTTAGAACTAGAGAGGCCAGATGAGAGTGTTAGTCCCCTTAGAACTAGAGAGGCCAGATGAGAGTGTTAGTCCCCTTAGAACTAGAGAGGCCAGATGAGAGTGTTAGTCCCCTTAGAACTAGAGAGGCCAGATGAGAGTGTTAGTCCCCTTAGAACTAGGGTCACAGACAGCTGTTAATTGCCACGAGGGTGCTGGGAATTGAACCTGGGCCCTCTGCAAGAGTAGCCAGTTTTTCCTTTCTGCAGAGCTATCTCTTTCTGACCCTCTTGGTTGTTTTTTTTTATTGAGAAGCAAATATTATTCCTCTGATCTAAACTGAAAATTAACTGTTAGTATCTGTTCCAGAGGCACAGGTAATATGCACATAGTAGATATGCACTAAGCTAGACACTAAGGTTAGTTGTACACTTAAAAAAAAGACCTTTATGGATGTGTCTATATGTGTGAGTTCATGTGTTTATGCTGGTGTATGAACAGTCCAGAAGAGTGAGGTGAGTGTCAGGATCCATCCT